TCCAGCACAGCCTGGCTGAACACAGGAGGGTTGTCATTAGTGTCCCCAACCCGCACCAGCAGGGAATTGTTGCTGGACAAGCTGGGGCTGCCGGAGTCCACAGCTACAATCACCACGTTGTAGTCACGGACAGCTTCATAATCCAGAGGGGCCGAGGTGTGGAGAAAATACTTGCGCTTGTTCTGTGGCTCCCCTTCGCCCTCGCTGGCCGGCTTGAGCTGGAAGGGCACATCACCTACCACGGTGCAGGTCACCACGCCATTTTCACCTTGGTCTCGGTCTGACACCTGCACGAGGGCGATGGGGGTGTCCACCAGCACGTCCTCAGCCACACTAGCCACCCCGTCCCGGAGCGGAATGCGCCCGATTTTCCGTATGTCGATGGTGGGCACGTTGTCATTCTCATCCCGGATATTCAGCACAACCGTGGCCTTGTCTGTCTTGGGGGGCTGGCCTCGGTCTCGGGCCATGACAGTGAAGCGAAGCTGGTTCACTTCCTCCCGGTCGATGCGGTGCAAGACACTGAGCCAGCCCGAGTTCTCGTCCAGCCGCAGTAGACGCCTGACAGACTCTGTGGCCGCCCCAAAGACATATTCGATCTGTCCATTCACCCCCACGTCCAGGTCGGTGGCTCGCAGCTGCAGGATCGGGGTCCCGGGGCTGCTGTTCTCCGCCAGATCCGCCTCATAGACGCTCTTCTCGAAGCGGGGGCTGTTGTCGTTCACGTCGGTGATCAGCACCCTCAGGATCGCCTGCGAGGACCGTGCCGGGTCGCCGCCATCCCGCACGCGGAGGCTGAGCTCGTAGGAGTCCCGCTGCTCCCGGTCCAGCGCCCCCTTGACGATCAGCTGTGGCTGCTTCTCCCCGTCCAGGGTGTCAGCCACCTGCAGCTCGAAGACGCTGCTGCGGGCCGCCGCCTCCGCCTCCTGCCGCCGCTTGCTGCCGCCGGGGTAGGGGGCGCTCTCGGGGGCCGCCGCGGCCGAGATTCCCCCGCCGGCGCGGCGGCTGCTGTCCCCGCCGGGCTCCTGCAGAAGCTCGTAGCGCTCGATGCCGTTGCGGCCAAAGTCCCTGTCGGTGGCGGTGGGGAGCAGGTAAAGGGTCCCCACGGGCCGGTTCTCCTCCACGGTGAGCGTGAGGACGGGGGAAGGGAAGGTGGGGGTGTTGTCATTGATGTCCAGGATGATGACCCGGCCCTCGAAGAGGTCCACCCAGCTCTGCGACGGGCCGATGACCGACACCTCGAAGTCCAGGAAGCACTCGTTCTCGTCGAAGATCATCTGGCACTGCGGCAGCTTTTCGCGGTCGATGCGCCGCTCTGTGGTGCTCAGCTCCCCGGTTATGTTATCGATCTTGAGATAGTCGGAGCCCGACTCCAGGCTGAATGTCACCTCTCCGGAGCCCGTCACGATACCCAGGTCGGAAGCCACGTTGCCGATGCGAATGTCAGCGGGTCCCTCCTCGGCCAGCCGGTACTTCAGGAGCTGTTTAGCCGCTGCCAGGCTGACCCAGAGCGGCAGAGGCAGGAGGAGCAAGAAGCAGCAGCAGCAATGTACAAAGCCAAGGAGAGTCCGCATCTTCCTCATCTTCCCTGCACTGAAACCCCCCGCCCTCCTCTCAATCCCACCTGCCCCCCCAATAAACTCCCCTGATAAGCCAACAGAGCGGCTGAGCGTCCAGGTGATCAATTATAAAATCCTTTTATTCCTGGAAACTTATTGTCTCATGGCTGGTGCAATTGGTGGTCAAAACCCTGCTGCTGGCTCCTCTGCTGCCCTCCCTGCCTTCCAGTTGCGATATACTTACAGTTCACGGGACAGTGTATTTTGCTTTTTAAAGATTCATCTCGGTAGATAGGATGGGATTTTCCTTCTCCTCCCCCTTCTCCTCCTCCTCTCTGATTTTACTGTAATCACTTTGCAAGGTTTGCAATAAAAGCAGGAGCAGCACTGTACGATTCGAAGCCCCCCAGGTCGTCTTCTTCGACACTAGAGTTAACTACAATTCACACTCTCTCTCTCTTTTTTTTCTCCCTCTCTCTCCCTCTCTCTCTCTCTCAGCCGCTTACGACCAAGGCATTAGCTTTATTCTTCCCCCTCTCAGCACACATAGGGGAAAAAAAATGTGATTCGTTTTATTCAAAGGGCTTGTGTCGGGAAAACTCCAAATCCTCTTAGCAATGGGGAGTTCTTAGGAAAAAAAAAAAAGTAAAGAAAAAAATAAAAATCCCAATAATGTCGGTAGCTGCACAGCTGATAGGAGAAGAACCCCGAGTATTACAGAGCAGTCCACAGAATATCCCCTTTGGTTGGCAGAAAAGCACCCAAATCCATCTTCAGAGATCGCCTAAAATGTTCAGCTCTTTCTCCGGAGCGGATTTTTTTAACAACTCTGCGCAAGGTCATTAGTCACAAAGCAACGATACAGAAACTGCAGAAGCCGTTTGCCCAGAATTTGCAAGGCTGGAGATAAGAACATAGACACACAACAGTCCCAAGTTTGTTTTTGCATCCGCAGTTTGTGTGTGTGCCTTACCTGCATTTGCACTGCATGTGTTATAGCAATCTGGATCTGCAGCACTGAGAGCGATTCACAAATGAGATTGCAGTCTCTCTCTCTCTCTCTCTCCTCTTCCTTCCCGTCCCAATGCAGGTAACCAGATCTGAACTTGATCCTTTCAGTTCAAAGGTTAGCAACAAAACTATGTGTCCAAAGGCGATTATTGGTCGCTCGTAAATATACCCGGAGCGGAACAAGATGTAACTGGATCCCCCACGTGAATTAACACAGATTCTGAATTACATCCATATAAGCGGAATGGCAAAGGGGAGGGGAAAAGAGCCGCGACGCGATTAAAAAAAAGAAAAAACAGAGTTCTATTTGCAAATAAAATTATATCAATCAGTTGTTTCCTGTGATCTGCACCGCCACAGTGGGTGAAATCTGCAATTGTGCATTCCCTCTTGTGTCTTTCAGAGAAGTGTGGATCAGGCGCTTTCACGGCAGAGCGGCTTGTGCTTTAAAATGTTGAATGGCAATTGAGAAGCTTCCCACTCGGAAGAAAAAAAAAAAAAGGAAAAAAAGAGAAGAAGCGGTAAACCGACAAGTTTGCCCAAAGTGGTGGGAGCTGCTGAAGCCTCTCTCGGTAGCTCTTCCCTGACGCTGCAGCAGCAGAGCCGCCTGCGCTACATACACACAGAAAGAGAGAGGGAGAGAGAGAAAGAGGGAGAGCAGAGAGAGAGAGCGAGAGTGAGAGAGGGAGGGAGAAAGGGAGGGAGGAGGAGGAGGGAGGACGAGTCAAGCGCTGCACTCCAGAAAGCTGTCTTACCCTCTGTCTTTGCTGCTGCTAGTGCTGCAAGTGGGATAGCTGCTCATCTCAAAACACCAGTTCAGTCCTCAAAACCGAACCTCATTTCACGCCCGAGTATTGCTTCTGTTGCCTTCTCAAACCTCTCTAGTGATTTTCTCCTACCCTTTCCCTCCCCACCTCCGCTGTAGCCTGTGAATCGAGCAACGATTTTTAAAGCAAATGTTTATTCGCCTTTCTTTTCTTCTGTTCTGCATTTTGCGGAATCACGCTGGTAAGGAAAGTCGCTTCGCAGATTCCCACCCTCCCCTGTCGTGTCGGTGCTTTTGTGAAATAGCTGCAGTCACTGTAACTGCATAAAACTCCAGGGAGCAAGGGGGGCTGCCTTAGATCTCAGACTTTCGTCTTGTTTCCCCGTGCTGTTTGAGCCTCTCGGTTTTTGTAATTGTGTTCTTCCTATTACCATGACTTGAATGTGTCTTTTCAGCGTGTTTGTGGGTTTCCTAGGAGAAAAAAAAAAATCCCTCGGAGAAGATAATCAGGATGGGGGCGAGAGGGTTAGTAGAATAAACACATGTAAGAAGTAACAGATTTATTTCCGAACAGAGACTTGCTGCTTCGATGATAGCTAAAATGTAGCGTCACCTACCTGGGTAAGTGGGAAATAAACTTTAATGTTAAAGCTCTCTGCTCAACTTTGCTTATTCTGCCATCCCTAGTTCGCGTCTCCTTTTGACTTTGTGCCATTTAATCGCCTATGGCTTTTGTGTGCCCCCCTACGCTTGGTGATGCCTGGATCCTGAACGCGTCCTCTCCGCTCGGATCCCGGAGGGAAAAGGGAGACTCCGGGAGCAGGCGAACATAGGGCACTCAGTGGGGAGCACTGGCGTGTGCGGGGGTGTCTGTCTGTGTGTGCGGCTGTGTGCATGCGTGTGTGCCTGTGTGTGTGTGTGTCCGTGCGTGCGCGCAGCGAGGGGGAAGCAAGAATCCAGCTGTTCTTTCTCCCTCTGTGGGAACACATGTGGGAAAACAAGTTGTTGCGGGTTCTGTGTGTGCGTGTGTACATTCCTCTTTATGGGTGGCTGTTTTGAATAAAAATGCATGCAGACGAATGTAGTGAAATGCTTTTCTTTTATCGCGATGACATATTTGAGCGAAAAGCGGCCGTATATGTTGAGGTGGTTCAAAGCAACGGTAACAGCGTGTCTTTGTCATTTGGGGCAGTGAGTGACTGTAGGAGGCAGGCAAGGTTGCCACCTCTTTCCTTGGGGAGCTCAGAGGTACAGAGGGGCAGAGCCGCGCAGCATGGAGTCGGTGATAGGGAGGGAGGGACTGCTCCCTTCTCCGGAGGGCTGCAGAGCTACTCCTCCGGCGTCTCCTCCGGCCCTGGCACCGGCCCCGGCCGCTATTCCTACCCCGCCAGAACAAGAAAACCCTCCCCCGCCGATGCTGGAGACACTCGGCTTTCTATCTGCAGAATCAGCGAGAAAGCCCAGCTCGGCGCAGGCTCAGTGCTCACCGCCGCAGTCCCGGACGGAGGAGGGGGGCTCGGGAACGCAGCATCTTCGCAGCGGGTTAAGTAGGATTAATACCAAATCCCTATTATATTTGCCAAGCAACTTGAATTTATCAAAATTCCCCCTCGCTGTTCTGGAGCTCCGAGAGGAGGAAATTTTGCTCTCAGAGTAAGATCCAGGCATGCCAGTACGTAGAAATACCAGCATACTGCATTACATTGGCTCCCTGCACTGGCAATACAATTGCGAGCCGCAGCTCCCGCTGTTCCCTTCCCTTTGTGTTTTTAAACACAGCCAGGAAACTTAATGTATTCGTCAGGGGAGGGGCGGGATGAGAGCGTTTTTAACCTCCCCGCCATAAACTTTAATCGGATTCCGGGCTGTTGCACGGCATGGACGCTCGCCTCTTGCTTGCGTCTCCTTCCCCGTTGTCTCCCATGTCTACTTTTACTACGGTCTGTTCTGCGAGAGCCTCTTTCAAGCGAATGAGTGATTTCTTTCTCTTGCCATGTGCAATCGCTCCCCCTTCCCTTCCTACCCTCGCTGGCCTCTCTTACACACACTATGCCTTTCACACGCGGTCTGCACCCCCAGCCCCCCTCCCTTTCTTTCTTTTTTGTAGTGTCTTCACATGCAATCTCTCTCTGAATGTGCAATGTCTTTCCTGCTCGGGAGTGCTGCGTCCTTCACAGTGGATTGGTTCCTCTTTCGGAGCAGAGGTAACGGCCCCCCCTTTTCTATCATTCCCCCTTCCTCCCTCGCCTCCTCCCCTCCTCCCCCAGGGCAGGCGGCCGGCGTGGGAAATGGGCCCGACGTGCGCTGCATGGTGGATGGCCGCGCTGCTCCCGGTCCACGTGCCCCGGCTGCCGGGGGGAGGACAGGGCTGTGCTGGCTGTGTGTACCCCGCACCCCCCCGCAGCCCGCTCGTTCGTGCGGGGAGAGAGCGAAATCACCCCCGCCCCCGCTCTCCGCCTCCCCGGCACCGTAGACTCCCGGTCCCGCGGCCCGTGCGCCCACAGCTTCCCGGGTGTCGGTAGGAACAAGCCCAGCTGTTTCAGGAGGAGGAGGTTTGTCCCTTTCGGGCAAATCTGTTGCGCAGTGTGACTCCCCCCCCTCTTCCTGGCTGCCCCCCTCCCCGATGCACACAGACGCCCACACGCGCTCAGACGCGACACGGCATTTGTCCTCCTGATCGGGTGAGATCAAGTGGGAAGAGGGATCACAAATGTAATCGTCTGTAATAAATAAAATAGCCCGAGATGCTGGTGATATACAGAGGGGAAATAGGAGCTTGTGTCCTTAAAGGGAACATCTGATAAGGCCACCGAAGTGGCATCTTGCGTGTGGGAAGGAATCCGTCTTGCTGACAATCGCAGCCGGCTGTACGTGGGGAAATCCTAAAGCAGCCTGGGAGCTTCCCCGGCTCTTTACATCCCCCCAAGCTCGCGATACTCTGCAGCGGGGCTTTGTTGTCGTTGTTGTAGTTGTTGATTGGAAAGACAGGGGTCATCGCTAAAATATGCAGATGTAATTAATGGCTGGTTTATCTGCATGTCTTGGCTGAGCCCGGCTTCTGTCGTCTGCAGCCGAACTCGCGTCCACACTTGGCGCTTTCAGCCCACGATAATTTCGTTTTCGCAGTTTAGGAATGTCGGTGGCTCTCACTGGAAAATTATTTCTGAGATCCCTGGTTAAAAACAGACAGACTGGTTGCGTATCCATACCACTCTATACGTTAACAAATGCACATTACTTATTACTATTTGCACGCACACAAACGAAAAAGAAGCTCCACAAGGAAAAAAAAATCGGGTTGGCTTGAAAGTAAAGTATTCATAATAATACGTGGAAAAGGTTAAATACAGTAAACATGACAGCAAATTCGAAAGCAGGGTAAAAACAAGGACAGAACCCCCACATGCAGCAGTTAAAGCCACATGACGGAAAGGAGAAACTAACTCAAGAACTCCACCAAGGGACAAACAGCTGAAATGACACCACAGCAGCACGGAGCCTGCGGTGACCTCTCATCTCTCTAAAGTGTCTTGCTGATCTGGTACAATTCTGTTCTGACCTCTTCACTCCCTTCCCTACCACAACCGCCCTTTGTCCGCCTCAGAGCTGCCTTAGTTCCTTGCAGTGAATATACTGGGAGGTCGGCTGAGTTACAGGGAGTACTGACACTTGGCCAGTGTCTTTCACAGCTTTGCAAATATGCTTGCTGTGTAGTAGCATGTAATAGGCAGCAGTGATTAAATTATTCATTGCAGCAACAGCCTTTCTGATGGACGTAAAAACTTAAGAGTTTAAATAAGGAAACCACAGATTCACTTTTAAGCAGATAAAACCCACATCTGTGCTTATTTAACTGAATGCTAGCTAAGCATGAAACCAGTTACTTTGTTTAAATCCTCTCTTTTACTCTCTTTCAGAATTTCGAGCTAGATAATACACCATAGAAGTTACTGACAGAGCAGAATTAATCTGTGTTGGATAACACTGGTTAAATCTCACATGATTATAATTGCTCATTCTTAAAGTCGTATTTGAGGTCTGTTCAAAATGAATAATTCTTGCATAGGCATGATTCCCTCAGCATTTCTGATTTCTCACATTTATAAAGAATTATGATAATTAATATTTAGCCAAAGGGGTAGTGATTTTGTTTACTAAGATTTTTGCAGTGTATATATATTTCTTACAAATCACAATTAATAACTTCGAGGTTTTCTCTTTCTTTCATTTGTTCCTGACATTATTCCATAGAATTTGTTATGAAAGATCTTTTACAGACTGTTTTTTTTCCCCAGATGTTGATAAAAAAATCTAACTATTCAAAATCATGCAGAAATGACAGACAGAATATGCTTAAAATCAGAAGGAAAAATTAATGAAAGGTCTTAAAAAAAAGCATATGAATTTTTATGAGGGGAGGCAGATTTTTGCTAGATTTATGCTTCATATGCAACTACTGACTTTCCTGGATTTGCAGGGGTATAAATGAGTGCTGTACCCAGCCCCATTATTTTATAGATTTATTTTTAAATAAAATATTGTTCAGTTTCTCTAAATGCGAAGTAAACTATAGAAAAAATTAGGGTTTGTATGAATTCCTATAAAAATATAGAGAAATTATGAATAATTAGTATGTATTTTACATAAAAAGATAAAATGAGCTATTCAGGGGAGATAATTAAAGCTGGATTTGATTTAAATGAAATGTATGAGAACCAGGTAGCACCAACAAAGAAAGAAAAATGTGTTCATTGTCACTGAAAATATTAAATGGGTACAGTTGATATGCATATGGATTCACTAGCAGAGAACACCGATTACTTTGGGAAATAATGTAGGATGGGGTTTTTTTTTATATAATGTTTCCAAGGGGGATATCAGTAGTGAGCCCACTGAAGGTCTTAAAGTGCCTTGTAAATTACCCCTATGAGATAAAAGGAAGTGCAATGACCTGCTCAGTCACCTAGGCAAGCCACTAACGAATGTCTCTTTCCAGATTATGTTAGTCAGATCACAGTTTTGCACTTCTGTACTTTTATAATATATATTCTGGATTCACCTCATGATTTGTCTTTGAATATGTGGCAATCATTTCTGCTTTATTTGGTGGACTGGTGAAAAGTTAAAGAAGCTCATTCTGAAGAGAGTTTAAAACAAGTCTGTGTTCCAGAGAACTACATATACAAAGAAATGTCTTGTGTCATGAAATTTGATGGATAGCAGTAAAATATACTAAACCATCACAGATATATTGAAATACAGTATTTTCAAGCTCGAGCTCCCACTTATTTCTGTCAGATATCCTGAACACATATACTGAACTAACTACACAGACTTCGTAAAACCATTTTGCCTCTACACACTCTTGAAGACTTCTCAACCTAACATAATTTTTCAGCTCTGTGCTCTACATTTTTAATTTTTTATTTTAGGATGCTACAAATATTTTTCTGTGAATTAAAGTTTTCTTCATTTTTAAATTAAAACCACAAGATCATAAAATCTTTTGTTCAATATTCCTAGTTCATCCTGTGCAACTTTAATTTATTTTTAATATAATTCAGGAGAGCATAAAAGATCTGGCATGTCTTCATGAATCTACTGTGTCAGTTGCCTGTTGAGCAGAAGAGAAAATATCCAAGCAAGATGGCAACTCTGCAGAGTTCTGAATAAGAACCTTTGATATCATAATTCAAACACTGTTATGGATAATTGAATTCTGTGATGCTCTATGCCTTTGTGTAAGTTAATACCAGTATATGTTATTGACTATACCTAAAATGGTATGTAATGGTATATACTAATTTGGGACCTTTAATGTTTCTGTCTACTTTATCAAAAACAATTACTGCTCTCTGGCTGAAATAAGAGTCATATAAATACACAGTTATTCTAAATTAGGGAAATAAATATGGTGGCAAAGTCATTTAGAATGGGACCAAGCTGTTGGTTGCTTATTGGACAGGCTATTTGGCTTTGTTCTGCAATGATTAAAAGTGCTTTACTAGGTATTTTATAATGTTAAAACTTGCCATTTCTTTTCATATGAAAAGTGAAACATTAGAATCCTTAGAGGCTGTATTGCTGTAAGCCTTATTTAGCTGTACAGTGCAGAAACAGATAATGTTTTTCCTTAATCCATTGTTTGACTTTATCAAGGGCATGACTATTCACTGAAAAGAAAGTAAGGGCTATTCACCTGCTACCATCTATTGCTGGTGAGCAAAAAAAAGTGTAAAGAGATGGAGTCCCTTGCACATTTCCCTGAACTAGATTAAAACATAAACATATATATCCATTCCTGTTCTGCACAGGTCTAGTAAAGAGCTCTGGCACTTAGCCAAAATGAGAATTAGAGGCTGGAGAAGACCCTGGTTATATCACCCTAAAATGGGATCCTTTAATCACCAATAGGAGTAGCCAAATATATTTTAGGCTGTAAAACACTGATCTATATGCTGGTACTGATCAGCTGGTACTCTGATCAGCTTTGCTTCTGAAATGTTTTGCACTGCTACCTTAATTCTCCAAAATAAAGTAAAGGATTTGTAGCCACCGTTCCTGTGGGGAAGATTACATAGCCTGGTTTTGAAATCATTTGTTCACCTGCTGCCTCACTTGCACTTTTTGCCATGCACAGACAGCCATAGTTTTATGTCTACTTTAGCTGTTTTGCAAAGTTTCTTGGTGATCATCCTTCACATAATTACATTTTTAGCTTCCTTTATAAGAGTAATAAGTACTGCACAGAAGGGGGTTTTATGACCTACAATATATCTAGAGGAAGAGAGGTACTGATAAGTTTCCACATTTTTCATCTTCTGATAGAAGCCTGACATATCTTCCAGTTCATTCATTCTGTGAGATGATTAAAAAGTTGCTCTTCAACAAACTAAACCTCATCCAGGGCTCAGCAGGAAATAACTGCAATCTAAGCACATTAAAGAACAGACAGGGCAAACCAAAGTATACCTCTTTCTTTCCCTCTTAAGATCATGGGGAAAAGAGAAAAGCAGTCTAATATTGTGATAAAACTGCAAGCCTGCAGCAGCTGGTTGATGGGTTACGATATAGAACCTAATCCAAAGCATACAGAAGTCAATGGAAGCACTTTGACTAAATAAGCTTTGCATTAGGCACCTAGTGAGTGAATGATGTTTAAAGCATTCATGTAGATCTTAAGCAGATGAGTGAAGACGAAAATGATGTGTGTTTGAATCAAAATAAATTCCATTAAACTACTGGGTGTAAATGTTATTTTGCCTGACCTGAGAGATCATGTTTATGACTCAGAATAAACTGGCATTCTTCAGTGCTGAGTCCTATCCTCCACTAGTGCAAGCACTCACGTTGCATAAAAAGCATATCTCTCAAATATATATGTTTATATATCTGTAAAATTCTTATGTTGATACTAATCTCAAAGTTCAATACATTATAAACATCTGCAGGCTCTTTTTACCCATACATATATTTACTGGGGGCATTTCTCTCATCTTAGGGGTTTTTTTGCAGAATAAGACAAGATTTTTCAATTTCCTTTCATGAGTTAAATTCTGCATTCCTGACATCATGCTGACAAACTTCCCTTTCACCTCTACTCCATTTTTAATGACTTTTTCAGTGAATCTTTGGTTAATATGGAGGACAGGAATTGTTCTACCTCACGTGATAGTGTTAAACATCCCTTTCTTTAACCCAGAAATACCTTTTTTAATACTCCATATTAGCATTTTTCATACCTACATCATGTTTTGGTGGCTGATAGTCCTTCTCTAGTAGATTGGCTGCATCTTTCTTTTTCTTTGTCATTTCCAGCTGATGAACTCACAGTTTATAGCTGAAAATCTAGTTACATTGCTCTTTTGTACGATTAAGTTTAATCTCATTTCTATTACAGAAGTCATCAAGGTCATCTGATTCTTCCTGTATATTTTTATCATTTCATGGTTCTCATACTTGCTTTACCAACAAATTTTAGCAGCATGCTCCAAGGTTTTGTGATCTAGGCTTTAATTGAAATATCAAAAAGATATATGGCAAGGCAGCCCATGAAGAACCCCTTAGCACCTTCCATCTAACAATGCAAACACCTAACACAGTCTGTTGTCCTCTCCTGATTAGTCAATTCTTTATCTTCTCAGTCTTAAATAATTCTTTTCATATCAGATAGTGTCAAAAACTGTTTTGAAATCCAGATAGGTGAGATCTTCTTTTGCCCTGCTTAGAAGATAAATTATTAAAGAAAGATGTTGATAAAAGGTACTATCTACTCTTGGAAATATTTGTATAGATTTTATTAAGTTTGCTTTGTACTTCTGTGTACTCTGTACTTCTGTACTTGTATGAAGAATAGTTCCCCTGTACTTGGCACTGGTGAGGCTGCATGTTCAATCCTGTGTCCCGTTCTGGGCTCCTCAGTACAGGAAAGCATTGAGGTGCTGGAGTGAATCCAGAGAAGGGCAATGAAGCTGGTGAAGGGTCTAGAGAATAAGTCACATGAGGAGCAGCTGAGGAAGCTGAGGTTGTTTAGCCTGGAGAAAAGGAGGCTCAGAGGTGACCTTATTGCTCTCTACAACTACATGAAAGGAAGTTGTGGCAAGGTGGGGATCAGTCTCTTCTTCTAGATAATTAGTGACAGGGCAAGAGCACATAGACTCAAGCTGCACCAGGGGAGGTTCAGGCTGAACATCAAAAGGAATTTCTTCACAGAAAGGGTTGTTAAAAATTGGAATGGACTGCCCAGAAAGGTAGTGGAGTCACCATCCCTGGAGGTGTTCAAGAAACAACCTGATGTGACATTTAGTGCCATGGTCTAGTTGACAAGGTGGTGATCAGTCAAAGGTTGGACTTTATGATCTCAGAGGTCTTTTCCAATCTAAATGATTCTGTGATTCTGTGCTATTACTCATTCTTTGCTTCAAAATTAATTTTGAAGCTTTACATTCTAAAATCATGTAAAAGGCATATTGAAACATCTATTTATTTCCTCTTTTCTGCTTCCCTTTTCAAATGTAGGCAGGCCATTTGCTATTTTCCATAAATGATCATCCTGACATACTTACTAAAAATCCTTGTTCTAGATATATATATTAATTTCTTCAAGATTCTGCAGTGAAAGTTATGTAGACTCTTGCTTTGAATACTTCCTAGTGTTTGAATTAATTTAAGATGTGTTCTTCTTCTGTAACTTTGCTTTCGTTGATCATTTTCCTCATTTCAGTATTGCAATCCTTGTTGAAACCTGAAACAACATATAATTTATTGGGGTATTTCCAGGTAAATAATTAGAATTTTACTGATTCTTTTTGCTTCTTTATAGCACGTTCTGCAAAAGTGAAGCCATTGCTTTCTTAGCAATTTTTGAATAAGACCTGAAGGTTTACATTTGACACTTCATTAAAGAGTACAAGGGGATACAATATTTACATATTCTGCTATTTTACCACTGCAAGTCTGTGTGTCTGTCTTATCTACATATTGCCTGCATGTCATCTACATTATTATCTACAAATTCATAATTTACATATCTGAATGCTTTATATCAAAAGAAGGGGAATGAAAGTGAAGATAAGTAGATCATTGCAGAACAAAAGAAACTATATCTGACCAAAAGAAACTTAGAATTTTCAAATAATTGAATAATGCACAGGCAGAAAACAGGTGGAAGAAACTGAAAACATGCATGGGTTTTCACAAGAACAGAGTTATCCTGAATGTCAAAGGTCAGTCCGAATTATGAGAGACACTACCAGTTGCCAGATGTTATCAAGCTGAATATACATATAGTATGTATACATATATATAAAAATATATAAAGTCCTTGATGAGCAAAAAAAAATCCATATACTAGAATAAATTATTCCATGAAGATTCTTCTATCAAATACTTTACAGAAGTTTAGAGAGATAGATTAGAACAAGAAGACTGGAAATAGAATAGGTGAAGATTTTTAATTTTGTGAAAAAATACAATGAAAATTTTATAAGGGAGAAATGAGAAAGAACAGATTTCAGAAAGATGATGGCATTCCAATTTTAATTTTAAAACTATGCATCAACACAGCTGGGTGAAGCTACTTCTTAACCAAGCTATTAGGCTTTTATTTATTAACTTTTGTTTTTCTTTTAAAAACATTTTGGCATTTTTGTACTAAAATTCTATTTTTTTTTCCTCATGGGAGACTACATGATTTATAGTGTAATTTAAAGAGGATATATTTAATTTACCTGAGTTCCAAAAAGTTCATGAACACAAAAGTAATGAGAAGAAAACTTTTTTAGTTTCATCTTATGTGTCATTCTTGGAAGAAGTTATTGACTTAACTTGGTATTATTACTCCTCTGAAAGTTATAAGTAAGAATGATAACTATTATGACTTCATGACACTTCAAATAACATATCCCATTTTTTGATTGCTTATTAGTTTACTGAACTTTAGCATATAACTTCTTTCCAAGTCTGAAGCTATACTTAAATTTTTGAAAAAAGTCAGACTGATTCAGTGATATCTGATAATGATACCCATGATGAAATTTATAGACAACCTTATTTAAATATTTTCAGCACTTTTATACATTTCACTATGAACTTGAGCTTTTAAGATGCTAACTTTTGGGAGTTTTTGTCTTACGATTGAAATCCATCCACCCAAGTTTTGTTTAAATAGCAACGCATTAAAATACTGCATTTAAATAAGTGTGGTAAGAACTTCACATTTTTAGAGAATAAATTCCCCAAATATTTTATTCACATTACGTGTAGCCCAACATGTTGT